CGGTGAGAAATGGGGCTGGAGAGGCAGGCAGGTGCCAGGGTCACTAAGGGCCATGTAAGCCACTCTAAGAGCTTAGACCTGAGCCTTTGACCCTCTCAGAAAGCCGTGCCTAATAAGCAGCCCAGTTAGACCTAGCAATGGGTGCTCTCAGGAGACTGTGCCAGAGGCGCGTGATGCCTCGCGGGAAGACTCACCAAGTCTCTTTTGAAGATGTTTGGCAGAAGGAGTGATCCTATAATTACCTTGGTGATAATTAGAAGAACTTCCACAGCCTCTTTCAACAAACATTGCACAAGCCGTGGCCCTCTCACCTCTCGGGGAGCCAAGCCCCCCTCCTGGGGGGAGCCAACAGCTGTATCTCCTGTCAAGCACCCTTGATTCCTCGGCTGAGGCCCAGAGGTGCTATAGATACACCTGGGGCTGCTCCAGCTTGGAGCTGAGGGCTGCTGGCAGAGGGACTGAAAGGTGCTCCCCAAGTGCCACAGACTAGGTGGCCTCCAGCCAACACACAAGCTTTGGATTTATTTCAGTCTAGCCTTCTAGGGGGACTGCAAAGCTGCAGAGATCTTGACCAGGAGCCGGAGGGGCTTTCTACATCTTGGCAACATTAGCCTGACATGCTCAAGCCCTCCCACTCTGGGTACACTCGTGGTCCTCCTGGAACCGCGTACACAGTGTTTCTGTGACCTGGACACCCTTCCAGCTCTGCTGAATGCTATTTGGCTTCTAACGAGGTCTGCATTCTACATGTCTTCCCAAGAGACACTTGGGGGCCTCCACTTTGAATGGAGAGAAGAAAACATTTCTTCTCACTTCTGGCTCTGTACCCTCACTCTAAGGAGCCCCTGGGTGGTCCAAGCGGTTACGTGCATCACTACGAATTGAAAGGTTGGCGATCTGAACCTACCGAGAGGTGCCTCAGAAGACAGGCCTGGTGATCTACTTCCAAAAGGTCACAGCCTTGAACACCCTATGGAGCACAGTTCTACTCTGACACGCATGGGGTCGCCATGAATTGGAGTTGATGCAACGGCACTAACAACAAATCTCACCCAAACCTGCTCGCCCTCCTCCTTTCCACCAGATTTTTCTCAGTGGAAAGAATGGCCCCTTCTGGGCTTCCGGGAAGGCCTGGACTTTCTTTCCTCAGCACCTCCCGGTTTCATTCACCAGATACCAACTTTTCACTTGGCTTTGCCTTCTATGACTCACTGGGAACCAAAGCCCAAGCGAATCGCCCAGGGCTCAGTGCGTTGTTTTCATTTCATCAGTGACATGTCTGTTCTGTTTTGTTCTTCGCTCTCCAGAGAAGGAGATTCTGCACCTCCCAAAGCCATTTTTCCCGTGGGGCCTGGAGCCTCGTTCACGCCTCTTGGAGACTCAGAAGGTCTGTGTGTCATATTCAAGGGTACAGTTGGCTTTCTGTAAAAGCACCTGGCGAGGTTGTCAGAGCTGAACAAATGTCAAGAATTTAGGCTTGCGTCTCCCCATGTTATGCTCATATCCACTGCAGTTTATGGTTGGGTAGATATCTGCAAGCTGGTATCTTTCTGTGAATGGTGTGAGGAACGGTCCCTGGTGGTTTGATATTTTCTTGGGGCCCTGCCTCAACCCTCTCCAGGATCATGATCTTATCAGCTGGCCCTTTCCCCGGGCTCTCCGGTGGAGCGTCAGAAGAAACATGTCAAGCCTGACTGGTCCAGGCACCTGGCAGTGGGGGAAGGAAGAAGAACGAAAAGTGTACTTGGCTTTCTCATTAAAGGGTTCCCCTTGGGGAACAGGCCAGCAGCAGATGTACAGGCAACGACCAACTGATCCATTCGGAGACAGACCCAGGGTGTGGTGTTCCCCGTAAGCCTAGGCAGGCCCTGGGAAACTGGAGGAGAGCTAGATCCGGGCCCAAAGTTGGGCAAACTGCAGTGGAGCTTGGAGATGCTGGTTTCACGTGTGCAGGTTCTGCTCCCAATGGAGACAGGGGGTCCGGGAGGGCTAGTGTGCCCTGTTGCCCCCACCTGATTCTAAAACTTGAAGGAGCAGCACTGATCGTTTCGATTTACGAACCTAGTAAGTGGCAGAGAGGCTTAACTAGGCCCTTCGAAGTCTGGCCTGCATGCATGTTTCCAGCCTCTTCTCTCAATACTGCCCAGCACAAATCCTCCAGGCCACTCCCGACTGTCAAGCTTACCCCGAACCTTCACATCTCTGGGCATTGCCTCATGTCATTCTCTCTTCCTGGAATGCCCACCCCCCATCACTTTTTTCTTTCTCTCTCTTTTCAAAATATTTCATTTATTTTTGGTGGCAGTAGATACAATCAAACATACATGCTTTCACAATTTCTACATGAACAGGTCAATAGCATTGGTTACATACCTCACATTGTCTCCCCATTCTATCCCTACCCATAGTGTTTCATTGCCATTAATTCAGGCTCTGTGCCACTTAAAGTTCTCATCTGTGCTTTAGATTGTTGTCAGTGCACACTCATACAGGTAATTCTTTATCAGAGCACGATGTTTGAAGCAAACATTCTTTATTGAGGGCTAAACTGTTGTTTAGTTTAACAATGGCTTTATGGGATAGTTTCAGTTTAAGGTTTAAAGATTATTTCTGGGCATTACTTTCGGGAGTTCTTCCAGTTTCAATGACTCCAGTACGTCTAGCTTCCACATGAGTTTGAAGTTTTGTTTCATGCTGTTCCTCCTTCTGATCAGGATCCATCTATTGGGTCCTTGATGAAAACGGTCAGTAATGGTAGCTGGGCACCATCCATTTCTTCTGGTCTCACGGTAATGTAAGTAATAGTTTATGGAGGCAGTTAAAACTACAGTCCATTTCTTTCTCTGATTCCTGGGAATAACTTTTCTCTTGGTGAGCCTCTTATCCTTTCAGACCACCTCATCCACTCCAGCAGGAAGCACTGCCCAGTGCCCCAAGGTTCAATTCCTCTCTCCCTTCTCCCTCCCCCTCAGCTCCAGGTTCACTGTGCTGGTCTCTGTTGTTAGGTGCCATCCAGTCAGTTCTGACTCACAGTGACCCTATGTACAACAGAATGAAACACTGCCTGATCCTGTGCCATTCTCACAACTGTTGCTACTTTTGAGCCCATTGTTGCAACCACTGTGTCAATCCATCTTGTTAAGGGTCTTACTCTTTTTCACTGACCCTCTATTTTACCAAGCATGACATCCTTTTTCAGGGACTGGTCCCTCCTGATAACATGTCCAAAGTATGTGAGATGAAATTTTGCCATCCATGCTTCCATAGAAGCTCTCTGGCTGTACTTCTTCTAAGACAGATTTGTTCGTTCTTCCAGCAGTCCACGGTATGTTCAATATTCTTCGCCAACACCATAATTCAAAGGCACAAATTCTTCTTCAGTCTTCCTTACTTATTGTCCAGCTTTCACATGCATACGAGGCGATCGAAAATACCATGGCTTGGGTCAGGCACACCTTAGTCCTCAGGGTGACATCTTTGCCTCTGAACACTTTCAAGACGTCTTTTGCAGCAGATTTGCCCAATGCAATGCATCGTTTGATTTCTTGACTGCTGCTTCCATGGGTGTTAATTGTGGATCCCAGTGAAATGAAATCCTTGACAACGTCAACATTTTGTTTATCATGATGTTGTTTATTGGTCCAGTTTTGAAAATTTTTGTTTTCTTTATGTGCTGGTCTCTGGTCTAGCTCTATTATGTCACTTCTGTGCCTGCCTCCAGCCCTCCAGATAGACAGTTGCCTGAGCTTTTTCCTCTTGCTGTTTCCTCTGCCAGGAACTCTCTTCCCCGGCATCTTTCCATGGCCAGCTCCTTCTCATCCTTCAGGTGTCAGGTCAAATGTCAGGTCCTCAGAGAGGCCTTCCTTGACTACACTTTCTAAAGTAGTTCCCACTCCTGCTCACTCTCTGTTACCTGGTGTTACTGTCTTTGTAAAACTTAGCAGCATCTGAAATCATCTTCATTTATTTGTTGGTTTAGATTGTCTATGTCTCTTCCTCTAGAATGTAGGCTCCCCGCGGGCACAGACCTAGCAGAATGAGCACCCAATAGATACGTTGATTGATTAAATGAAGGCGAATACGGGGCATTCGACCTGGCACTCCAAGGGCTTGGCACAGAGCCTGGGCGTAATAAAGGTTGGCCGCGTGGGCAATATGATACATGAACGAATGAATGAACCACCGAAAGTAAAAACGAAGGAATGAATGCAGCACTCTGCATGAGGACTGACAGGTTGATTAACAGTTGGCGGTCCTGGCCAGACGACTGTTGATTGACGGCTGACAGCTGAGTGACAGCCAACACACGCGCATCGGGGCTCCTGATTGGCTGGCTGCAGCGGACCCTCGGAAAGGGGCGGGAGGGAGGGGGCTCAAGGCGGCAGTTCGGCGTGCGGAGACCGGCGGCACTAGGCTGTTGGAGGCGGCCCAACAGCCCGCGGCTGGGCGAGCAACAGTCACCTCGCACCAAGTAACCCACATCTCCGCGCATGGGCCCGGCGCGGGGGGCGGGGCGAGCGCGTCACGTGAGCGTGTTTTGGGCACGTGACTCGCGCGGGGCCAAGGCTCCCTCGGCCCCTCCTCCTCTCGGCGGGTGTGAGCCGAGCGGCCTCGCCTCACCGCCCAGCGTCCCCCCTCAGCTGCCGCCGCTGCTGCCGCTGCTGCCTACGCCCACCGGCCATGTCCTC